AGTGCGTGGGGAGGAGGGCGAAAAGCGGCGGCCTCCGGGCGAATCACTGCCACTCGAAGTCGTGTGCAGCATAGCAAGTTTCAGGAAAGTAGTTCCCTCCTCCCTTCATCTCCCAAATCGTTGGCGAGCCGCTTGAACGGGGGGAGGAGGCGGGAGGCGGAGGGATACGCGGCGCTCGGTGCTCGTGTGCATGCGGGCTCCAAATCTTGGCACGCTGCGAAAGGGGGCGGGGGTGCGAGCTGCAAGGGGAGCTGCTGGGGAGGCTGCATTGTTGCGGCACGTTACTCCCCGTTACTCGGTTTGGAATGTCCCCGTTGCACGAACGAAGACAATACCAAAGTGCGCTCAGCGAGGAAATTTGGGGGCGACTCGGCCCTGCCGTGCGCGCGCGCGTGCCTTGCAGAGCAAAGAATGAAACTGGCTTGAGTTCATATTGAGTTGGTGGGGGTTAGAGGGAGGGACTGCAAAGAGAGCTCCGCCTGCTGTCCCTCTCGTTGCATTGCTGCAGTTCTCTAGCTGCATGCAAAGAGAGAGAGAGCGCGAGAGTGTGTGTGTGTGTGTGTGTTCGTGTGTGCTTGTGTGTTAATTTAATACTTCGTGCCTCCGATTCTTACTGCGCCAAGGGGGATTCGCTGTGCAGGCAGGGCATTCATCTGTGAACGCTGAAGTGGTTGTTAATGGAGAACGACTTCCATTGAAGCACAGGGTAGGCGGGTTACATGAATCTGGCGCAGGCAGAAGCACAGGAAATAACTCCCGCTGTGAGTGCGGTTGCATAACTATAGCGCAGGAGATGCCTCTGTGGCGTGAACTGCTCCGAACCCGAGGTGGAAAGATTGTTGAATAGGCAGCTGTCAAGTTTGCATTGTTCAGAGGACAATGTATGCATTTTTCTCAAAAGGTTTTGGCACGGAAACCTGCTGGGGTTGCTGACTGGGACCCAGGGTCGGCCAGATCAGAGGACTCCGGAGCTCCTGGCTCTAATGACTCTGGTATTCCTCTTCCCGGAGAAGGCCCGTCCTAAATGACTCGGCCTGGGGGACTGTATCCCAAACACTTCCAAGTTGCTGACGCATTTCTCCGGATACCAGACTCGCTCTTCATTCTCAGGTTTATGCAACCAAAGAACAGAGTTTCTGCCTCTGCCACTTCGGGGAGTAGAACAATTCCAGGGGCAGAAGAAAGCGGAGAACCTTTCAAACAAGCCCGCATTCCTGCCATACATCTCTAGGAAGTTTCAGGAATGCTCTTGTCTAGCTGAGAAGATCCTCCAGCTTGCTGACCGTGTTTTGCATATGCTGTGGTTATGCGCTGTGTACCTGGTTCCCATTCAGAGTGACCGTATGTGCAACAGAGGGAAGCACTGCCTGGTCTTGGCCCATCCTCACCATTGTGCTTGAACCTTTTGTGACAGCCACGGTGTCCATCGATGGGCTCAAACGTAAGAACAATGGTGAGGAGGGCACAGGACCGGGCAGTGTTTTGATCTGTTGTACATCCCTTGATGGCGCCCAACAACAACAGTGTCAATCCATTTCTCTGAGGTCTTTGTTTGGTTTTGTTCAAGCATGATGCCCCTCTTCAAGGACTGGGGCCTCCTGATAATATGAGACAAAGGCTCTCCATAGTCCATTCTAAGGCACATTCTGCTGAACTTCTGAGACAGATTTGTTCCTTCTGGCACTCCATGCTATGTTTTATATTCTTTGTCAACATCATAGTTGAGATCGTTAAAAGTTTATTGTGCCAACCTGGCCGATAAACACATGTGGGGTTAATTGAAGGGTGGAGAGATAAATGGTTTGGTGAGTCTTGCCTTTCAAGTTCTCCGGTCTCTTGCTTTCTGATGTCGGGCCAGGGTGCCACTGCCTTCTCCAGTTCCCTGCTTTAGCTGGCAAGGCTCATTTCCTGTGAGACATCCCTGAGGAGAAGCTGCATGGACCTACCCCGGTGCACCCCAGGTGGAGACACCTGCCAGCACTGAGATGCTTACACGTTCACTGATTTGGCGGTCATTGCGTCTGTTTTGTGAGATGGAGGAGGACTTTTTGGATTGGTGTCGGACATACATACGGGTTAATGTTGGACTTGTGGGCTTGGGCAGCACTGGGTTGGGATGTTTTCTTGATGCGCACTTAACCTTTATATAAAACTCTCTCTTATACATGAGTTTCTATGGATTTGTTTCTCTAAAGTAGCCAGATTAACACAATAGTTTAAAAGCATCAAATATTGGGTCTTCTTTATTCACTGTCTGTGTACAGGGGGGCATTGAAAATGCCATGGCCTGGGTCAGGCATCTGAGTTCTCACAGTGCCAGCTTTGCTCTTCAGCACTGTCCAGAGGTCTTGTGCAGCAGATCTGCCCAGTGCAATGCAGCATTTTATTTCTTGACGGCTGCTTCCATGAGTGTTGCCTGTAGATCCGAGTAAAATGAAATCCTTAACAACTTCACTCTTTTCTGCATTTATCATCATGTTGCTTCTAGTAGATGCTTAGTAAATACTTCATGAATGAATGAATGTTTGACAGTGACTAATTCATTGTGCCCCTTGATGTCTGAGCCTTCTTTATATAATGAATGGATTGCTTCCTGTCTCACCAGCAGCTTTGTCTTTGCTCAAATAGAGGAAGAGAGGATATTGTTGGCAGGAAGAGTTGAGGGAGTCTATGTTAGTCAGATGTGACTTCAGACCTTGCCTTTTGAAACTTGTTCCTACAGAGAACCTGGATGTGCTGTGCTGGTCACTTCTTCCAATAACTCCTAACCACCTTTGTCACTTGGGTTTGAATGAAGTATGTTTTCTTAATACAAAGTACTTAAATTCTGTGCCTCTGCAAAAATAGAGATGATACCAAAGTTGCTGTAATGATCAATAATGATAGAGTATGAATTAATTATGGAATACAGATTATTATTTTGTAAGATAGAAATGTAATGTTCATGGTAAGGTGGTTGATCTGAAGTTTCAGCATTCTCCTAATATAAAACTTTCAATATCTTTGTTCATTCCAAAACTAACTGGCAGTGTCTCCAGTGTTCCAAGCCATTGTTAGACCCATTGTTTGGCCCTTAATAAACCAAAGATATAAAAAAAAAGAAAACCTCACTGCCATCAAGTCATGGCAACTCATAGTGACCCTATAAGACAGGGTAGAACTGCCCCTGTGAGTTTCCAAGATTGCAACTTTATGGGAGTAAAAAGCCCCATCTTTCTCCCAAGTGGCTGGTGGTTTCGAACTGTTGGCCTTGCAGTTAGCAGCTCAACGAGTAACCACTATGTCATCAAGGCTCCTGTCCCATAACAGGCCATTATTGAATAGCTGTCGGTTATTATGATTAAGTAGAGGCAGTGGTGGCTCAGTGATAGAAGCCTCACCTGCCATGGACTTGGGTCTATTTCCTGCAGATGCACCTCAAATACAGCCACAGCTCATCTGTCAGTGGAGGCTTGTGTGTTGCTATGATGCTTTCAGGCTTCAGCAGAGCTTCTAGACTAAGACAGATTCAGAAGAAAGGTCTGGCAATCTACTCTTGGAAAGCAGCCACGGAAAACACTATGGATCACAATGGTACACTGGTTGCCATGAGGGAGGAGCTAACTACGTAGCAGCTCACAAATACAAGAGTTAGGGCATTTGCAAAGACTTCTTTTGGAAGAAATTTGCATTTCTCTAATACAAAAATGTCAATAGGGATGCTGGGAGAAAATATGAAGACCCTCCTGGTGGTACTTTCTGTGGCAGTTACGTAGTCTGTCAACTTGAGCAACGAGGTGGAGTCTAGCCTGTCAATCAGGTCACAACTTGATGACCTCATTGGGAGGTGTGATGGAGATAAATAGCTCACTGGAGGCCAAACCCATTCTCTCTGCCTTCTCTTTCCTGCTGTCGAGGCACTCAAAGAGCTGGAGCAGACAAGTAGAGACCCAGGCCAGCGTTGAGAGCTTCCACTGCCACAGGATCCACAAGACCTT